CATTATCAAAAATCAATTTACATACAGTTCTCAAAGACCTGAAAAATACGGTCTTCAGGTTTTTAGAAACCTTACCGTTATAGTCTATAAATTATTTTGAGCAAAAATAGTTCATAAAATAAAAGGTGCTCTAAAATATTGTCCGCCACTATATATATATATTTCATCGTCAAAGAAAGTTTTTGTTTTATGACTCAACTATGGATGATGTGGCTGTTATTAGTAAGTAATTTGTGCCAACGTTGCATTTATCGACAATTACTCATGTTTGTTTTGTGATGAAACATGTGAATCATTAACAAACAAGGTTTAATTATGTTCGAGTCACATATTTTATAAAATAGAAAAAAGAAATTAATTGTGTCTAAGATAGATGTTGTGCGTTGCTAGCATTTCAAAGTTTATGGGCGTGGGTGTAAGGGAGTGAAAAAATTAAACTAGGATGTGGGGTGTGGGTGGGGTGGGTGTGGGTGGGTGTGGGTGTGCGATGAGAAGATATCCACACCCACACACCCACCCACACCCACACCCACACCCACATCCACATCCACACCCACACCCACACCCACACCCACCGACCCAGATCTTCCATTGACGTATATCCTTGTAAATATACAAATTTTATTCCAACTTGCGATATGTTTGAATTAAATCGACATTGTAATCTTCGTATACACACCCACACCCTGGTCTTTTTTTTCTCAGAAAGGTATGATAGTGCCAAAAGTCGGTGTTGGCTAACTTTTCAAAGGAAAGGTATTAGAACCTAAAATTTTGAGGTTGATGGTTTTAGACATTAATGCGTTGAATGAACGAAAAAATTTTTTATCGAGTGTCTCGTATATTGGATTGATACTCGATTAGCTCATGGATTCTCTCTTGAATATTTCAAATATATCTTTTGTATCCAAAAATGATTGTGTTGAATCAATCAATTGAATTTTAAGAATATCATGTAATGGTTCTCCTACTATTGATTGTATAAATTTATAAAATTCATCACCCTTCAATGCTAAAACATTATCGGATAAGGTGGATAAGTCGTTTATATGGTTGCTGTTCATTTGAAAAATGTTTAAGTTGACTAATATATAAATCCAAAATGACTAAAAATAAGTACCGATAGTACAGCAGTAGGAAAAAATAAAGAAATACGAGTATGTAATTGTCATGAAAATTATTTTCAATGTTAAACTGATATATTCATTAAATTGAGTACCTATTTTAACATGCTTAGTGGTTGAGTATTCGTTAGTACTACTAGAAAATATAGTTTTACAAAAGAATAATAGGAACATTGCTTCTCACATGAGCAGTCTTGAAAAGAAAACAACTTATCTATTTTACATCAAAGAAGGGTCAAAAAGTAAAAGATTCAAAGATAACCATGTTATCATATGATACTCGACTACGAGAGAATAATAAAAAAAAACATTTCTAACAGTCGATCAGAAGACTTACAGATGCAAATCAAATAAAGGCAAAAGAATAACAAAAGATATACAATGGGTAGACTACCTATGTTTTGACAAAAGACTTTGAGGCTATTAGTAATTGTGGAAAGGTATCCTAAAGATATTCAAAATATCTTTTTTGTTAAAGACTATATCAAAATCCTCTGATTCTACATAAAAAATGTAGTTAAATTTTTTTCAAGGACATCAATAGAAAGAGTGTCAAATTCTGCACAAGATAGGCTATTTTCTCATCTTCGTAAGTTAGTTTCAAAAAATTTGAAAACATGTTTACGAAGACGGAAAAATAACCTATCTTATGGAGAATTTGACACTTTTTCTATTGATGTTCTTGAAAAAAAAGCAAGTGCATTTTTTATGTAGAATCAGAGAATTTTGACATAGTCTTTAACAAAAGAGACATTTTGAATATCTTTAGGATAACTTTTCACAATTACTAATAGTCTCAAAGTTTTTTGTCAAAACATATGTAGTCTATGCAGCTTTTGATGCTCTATCTAATGGTATAGTTTAAATTGAATCTTGTTACATTAAAGAGGTGAAAGCTTATTTTTCTCGAACTATATAGTGATAATTTTGAGATTTAACTTTTCTATCATTTGATTTCTTAAATGGTAGGAGAGTTTTCACAAATATTTTTTTTTCAGTATATACACAGGTGGCCAAAAGTATCCCCCCCCTCGAATCTCCGCTACTACATGAGTTGTGGCGCTGAAAATTGCAGTTTATATGGCTCTCAACAAATGTAGGTCAGCGGTGAAACCCGCATCCCGAAAGAATGTATTACAAAAGAGATATTAGCCAAACGTTGTATTACTATTGTAGACTCTATAACTTGATAATAACAAAACCTTTTGAGCTGGGGCTTTCGCCATTTGAAAGCTCTATATAATAGCCATCTCTGATAAAAATTTTATCAACATTCATCGAACTTTTGTGAAACTAGACACATTTTACTAAAGACATGTGTGACATGGTAAACCGTCAGTCAGCAATGTGTTCCTCATAATTCAGTCTAGGATCGATATATAGACCTGAAATTTATAGCATAAGATACCCTATTGATATGCAGCATTCTCTAAAATTTTCAGACTTATATCGCTTACTAAAGGGAAATGGTACTATGCTAAAGATGTAGATTTTGTCACAGGTCTAGGTATTCGAATACTCAGGCAAATGACCTCATATTTGGAGCATATAACCAGCATATCTAGAGGCAGAATTCTATCGAAAAATAATCATAAAATTCGCAAGGTAACACTGGAAACAAGAAACAAATTTCCTTAGTTATATTTTTTTTGCTAATAGACACCATTATAATTATATGGGAGGATTTAAGCCTTTTCACAACTCTACGTGTACAATCGCCCTAATTCTCACTATGATATTTGTGCCGATTCATCATCATCACGAAAACACTCAGAAGGATCGCTTACAGACACGATCCCGATGAGTAAATAACCTTCAAGTTTAATAAATAAGCAAAAAACCTCTGTTCACGATATTTTCTCAAGAGCATAGATCAATAACAGAAAAAGGTTTCTATGATGAAAAAAAACTGACTAAGAAAATTTGTTTCTTGTTTCCAGTGTTATCTTGCGAATTTTATGATTATTTTTCGATAGAATTCTGCCTCTAGATATGCTGGTTATATGCTCCAAATATGAGGTCATTTGCCTGAGTATTCGAATACCTAGACCTGTGACAACATCTACATCTTTAGCATAGTGCCATTTCCCTTTATTAAACGATATAAGTCTGAAAATTTTAGAGAATGCTGCATATTAATAGGGTATCTTATGCTATAAATTTCAGGTCTATATATCGATTCTAGACTGAATTATGAGGAACACATTGCTGACTGACGGTTTACCATGTCACACATGTCTTTAGTAAAATGTGTCTAGTTTCACAAAAGTTCGATGTATGTTGATAAAATTTTTATCAGAGATGGCTATTATATAGAGCTTTCAAATGGCGAAAGCTCCAGCTCAAAAGGTTTTGTTATTATCAAGTTATAGAGTCTACAGTAGTAATACAACGTTTGGCTAATATCTCTTTTGTAATACATTCTTTCGGGACGCGGGTTTCACCGCTGACCTACATCTGTTGAGAGCCATATAAACTGCAGTTTTCAGCGCCACAGCTCATGTAGTAGCGGAGATCCGAAGGGGGAGGATACTTTTGGCCACCTGTGTATATACAACACCATATCATCCACAATAAAATGGTCAAGTTGAAAGATATAATTCAATGATGGATGCAAAAATTGCAGCTTTATCCAATATATAAAAAACAGATTGGGATGATCAACTACCATTTGTAACATTTAATTACAATACGTCGACACATTCCTCAACCAAGCAAACTCCATTTGAAATTATGTATGGTCGAACACCAATATTACCGCTTGATTACCAAGAAAATGATGTTACAATTTCACATGATAGCGAACACGAGAAAAAACTTAATCAGTTTTTAACAAAATTAAATAAACAAGCAAGAATTAATATTATTAAAAATCAAGAACGATATAAACAACGTTATGGTACCAATCGTTCCGATCCATCATACAATGTTGGTGATCTCATTCTCGTTAAAACACTCAACATTCATTCAAAATTCAATGCTCGTTATGAAGGACCATTCAGAATTATAGAAAATCTTATACCAAAAACATTTATTGTACAACACATCAAGAAACCAACATTACACCGTCAAGTTACAACTGATGTGTTACTTCCAATTTGTGAACGTATTCATTAATTTTAGGACCTCTTTATTAAAGAGATCCGAAGTACAAATGATATGTTAAATTTTATGGAATAATTATATTATTAGAATAATCTAATTAAATATAATTTAGCATAGCAAGATCGGAGAGTGTGACTTTCCCCCATTCACTGGTCTTGAAGGGCTATTATATTCAATTTGGGAAATTATTTTTACATTTAATTATTTCATTATACGAAATGCAATTTATGGATATGTCAATATTCATTTATTTAGATTTTTATTTGGCCACTGGAAATCGAAAAGAAATACATTTCGTACTCTATTGAGATTGACATACTAGATTTCTATTTTTCATAAGAACCAGATAGATTATTAAATATCTTAAGATTCATTTTCGAAAGAATCGATATTTAATGTACAACAATTTTTTTTCTTTTGGCGTGATGTTATCACAAAAAGAAGACGACGATACATTATGAAAATACAACAACATTCCAAAATCAATAACTGGACAAACTCGAAAAAATGTTCGTCAAATATATCGGAAAAAACTTTTAGAACATTATTATGCTTTAAATTATCCACCATTTGAACCATCATCTTATGAATTAATTTTTATTAATTATAGAACAATAGAAGAAACATTAATTCAATTAATTAAAATTATTAATTCATCTACATTATTTATCATGGATACAGAATCTGTATGTGCATACAAAAAACCCAATAAACCAGCACTTATTCAAGTACAAATCATCACACATCAATTAAATTCATACATATTAATTATTGAAGCATATCATCTTCCAAGACCACATGTATCAACTTTTACATTAATTCAACAACTATTCGAATCATTATTTCAAACATAAAATACAATTTACATATGGGTTCAAATTGATGAACTGATAAAATTTATTGAATTTAATTTATTCTCATCTGACCAAATTTATTTATCACAAAATATCAATTTACAAAATAAATTCAAATTATATTGGTATGAACATCATCCACATATTCCAACATCATCAATAAATGATCAAATATATATATATGTGAAGCATGTACTGATATACAAGAAAACAACCCATGGTTCATACAAACTGCAACAGCATATGAATTACACAATGGTTAGATAAACGTCATACACGTTCACCATTTGATATCGGGCTGGACCCAAAATTAGTTAAATTAAATTCTAATGAATTCGAATATCGTCAATTAATAACTCAATATGCTGCAAATGATTGTGATGCAATGTATCAACTTCTTATTGTTATGGATGCAATTAAACAACAATCACCACAATCACGAGCAACGAAGAAGAAACAAATAATGATTTAGAATTAATGTTATTTGACGTCAGCGAACAAAACGAACAAGAATTATTCGAAGAACAACAAACTACAATAACTTCATCATCAACAACAAAAGCAATACATTTTGAATTACTAATACCATCATCTAATGATAATGAACCTATTGAATGATCAACACATTCAGATAAACAAATGTCAGATAATAATAATGAACAACAACCTCAACAAACACCACCTGTTGAGCCTAATCCAGTCAATACTGCATCTAAACAACGTACTCGACAATTAACAAAAGAAGAAAAACATAAAATACATAATCGTGCATGCACCCTTAAACAACGTAAACGATATTACCAATATGGGATTAAACATCGAAATGTTGATAAACAATTTACTATTCGAAATATAAAGGACATTCTTCGACAACATCGAATTTCATTTACAGCTATTAACTTCTCAACATCATCTATTACTCATGAACGTACATTATACATTGGTATAAAAGATGCATCAAAATTAGAAACATATGAAATTCAAATTCAAAATTTATTTACCCGTGAACATTATAAACAATTTCAATATGAAAAACGAGAAATTTATTATCATGCAAATCGTCATTATCATCGAAACAATCATCATCGTCGCCATACACCAAATGAATAAATCATAAATAATTTCAATTTAACATTTACAAGTATTTGCTAGTCGAACCGACACAATTGAAGAACAGATTAAGAAAAAGACTGAAAAAAACATTGTTTATTTTATATCATTATTTGTTTTGTTCTTGTTAACATTACTCATTGTATTGATTATTACATATTTCTTTAGCGTTTCCACTTTGCATTTATACTTTTTATTTCGTTATTGCTTTCGTAAACTTAAACCATGCTTATGTTGTTTATGTTTTGTTGTTTCATTTGTTTGTTATGATATTTCTATTGTTAGTCATCTCAGGGAAAAATGTTAATAGGACACATTTTTTTGTCCAACAGGGAAGTATGTTACAGTGACTTAATCGAGGTCGCTTGTATACATACATCACTTTTGATATCATCTCTTTATTTTTCTATTGTTTTCTTTCTATTCGTGTTATCCTCTTTTGTTCGTGATATATGTTTCATCTGATATAATTTCATCATCTATGTTTCTGACCTTGATAATCTTTATTTCTATTCTGTTCTGTAAACATATACATACCAATGTTTTTATTCATAAATAAACATTCCTCTTTTGAAGAGATATAGATTACATAACATCTATCTATATATATATATATATATCTCGTTCACAAACATCAAACAAGAACGTTCCAGATTACACAAGAGAAAGTGAGAAAGATATTACGACACCAAACAAGAACAAGAGTTCATCAGCTAAGAAGGCTATATCGCGCAAGAGTTATATTATGCAAGGGTGACATCTAAAATTGATGACATCGTACAAGGATAATATGTTGTAAGCAAATTGTGCCTATCGGCACATACTGTTGTATAGTACTCTTCGTGGGATATCTACCACAATATAAAACAATTCGAAGAGCACTTGTATAGAAGATGATATCTGTGAAAGAAGGTTCCCAAGTTTTTTTTGCAAACACCTGTATATCTTCCTTCAAATTATTCGACAGATTACGAATGAAAAGGGTACTTATTTCGTTGCTGCAACAATGTTTACAATGTACTCATTGAATATCGAATACTTACAATTATGCATTGAATACAATCAAAATGCTCGATTATTTCTATCTGATTGATGATCTATGATCTTGTTACAACTAGCTGCCATCAGAAAAAGAGTTGAAACGTAAAAATTAAAGGTACGAGTTGCTCAAGTTGTAGCAATTCTTTTAGCATTCAACGCAAAAATATTTGAATTTCTTCCTTTTGAAGATATGTCGAACAGATAGGAACCATTGCAATGCTTACATTTTCATGGTGAAACTTCGTTGGTTATCCATTCAGATCTATCAATAGGTTTCATCACAGGACCATCGAAACTCTAAAGTTCTATGATGGAATGGTCAAATTCTTCTTCCAATATTTGTCAATAGCAAGTATTGTCTCGATCTATATTATATTCAATAGGATCATTTCTCTGAAATTTGAACTGTTATTTCTTCAATAGGATGTCGCATGCCAATCAGTTCGAGTAATTGATCCAGAGATATGTTCCATGGCTCAAAAGAAAATGGCTACCAGTTTTCAGAATACCAAAAGTGACTTGTTTAGGAAGTTTCAAATGATTTCTCAAAAAAAAAAAATTTCAATTGAAATATGTAAGACAAAAGATCAAATAGATTTTCTTTAGTCCTTTTCTGACATGTTCGTAACTTTCACAAAGTTGCCTCTTTTGCGTATTCTAAGAAAAGAACAAGAATGATGGAAATATTTCTCTCTCTAATAATGAAAACTGTTCGTAGTAAATAACCCTTTTTTTTTGTTTTATTTATTCTTAATACATTCGCATGAACGTAGTGATTATGAATAAATTGAGATTTGATTTTAGTAAAGATTTATTGTTTTAATTTAATGATGAAGGAATAAAATAAAAATAAAAATAAAAATAGGCGTTCTAGTTATTTATAGAATTTTCTGAGTCGTTGCAAGATTAACGAAGCAAGTTCTCGTTGTACTGTTCACTTTCTGCTGCATAAAGTTTTTTCAATAGTAATAAATAATTATTTGCCTGTAATCGTTTAATAGCTCTTAAAATGGCAGTTGGATCTGTTAGAATCCTTTGTTGTTTTGTTGCCGATGGTACACATACATAATCATACTTATCATTGCGTCGCCAAACAGATCCAGTTAAACATCCTAATGGTCCATTGACAAGCTGACTCGGATTTTGACGATCAGCAGCTTGTTTATTATCATTTTGTGCTTGATCTCGAGTCGCAGGTAATACACATACATGATCATTGGGAGAAGCTTGTCGCCAAACAAAGCCTGCCATACATGTATCTACGCCATTAGGTCCACCCGATGGATTACGACGTGAAGCAGCAGCAGCATTATCTGTCAATATTTGAGCTCGTATTGCTGGTGTGACACATACATGATCGTCCGATATTGCCTCACGCCATACATATCCTTGAAGGCAAAGATCTGCAAAATTACTTTCAATAGAAACAGAAACAGTTCGTTTTTCAACATTGATTGCACCAGGAGTAATTTTCACATTGTTCTTATCCAAAGATGTAATAGGATTTTCTCCTGGTGTATTATGCATTCGAAGAAGATATGGATAATAAATTTTTTTAACTGTATTGTCTTTGTTTGGATTGAGTTTGATTTCGGATATGAATACAGTATTTTGATCAAATGCAGCATCCCAATTTTCTTTGAAACGCATTTCAATAATATAATAATGTCGAGGATCAGATGGATCGAATGGTACACGTATCAATGATGGATAGTCGGCTGCTGGATTCCAAAGTGTCGTTAAAGTCAATGTGGCTGATTTTTCGCCTTTTTGTCCAAATGTATAAACACGATCCATTGGAATCCAACCAACTCGTTCCAAATAATATCCACTGAAGCTAGGTGGAGCTGAACCATATTTGACGTTCTGTGTCATTTTGGCATGAGAAACACTCATGAGATCCCATTCATCATCATACTCGCCAATTAGTGCGATAGGATTATTTTTGTAGTCGGGATCATCGGAATATGAATGACCCAAACCATAACCATGACCCATTTCGTGAACTATTCTTGCTATATTGTCATTTTCGCTCACATAAACTTTTGCAACCTCACCCCATATGTCAACGTCTGGACTTGTAACAACAATGATACGTTCCGATGATGGATTCGGTAGTGCGGAAGCTTTGACACAATCATCGAATCGAGCTTGCCTCGAGCTTGCCTTGTGTTGTGCTGTTGTTTGACTTAGTGTATACCAACCATGGACACTTGATGAACCAAAATTAATGAGACCACTTGACATATCATTCCAATAATCAGCAATACCTTTATTACCGCGAGTTAAAAATTTTTCTTTTATATCTGCTGGTGTATATTTCGGTGTTGGACTGTCGGAAAATTTACATAGAATAAGTCGCCATACCATTTCCCCTCGAAGAGGATACATAGCTCCATCAACATCATGGATATGATAGCAGACAACAAGTAGAAGAATAAATATATTCATCATGTTGTAATGAATATCTACAATGACCAAAAAAAATCTATTCCAGTCCGACTTTCAAATCCGTAAACTAAAGTAGACATAAAAAATCATTGTTAATATAGAAAAAAAAAAAGAATCATCTAGTTTGATGCAATATTAAGTGGCTTTTCGACATAAATACAATAATAGTTACTGGTGTCATATATTTTGATCTTAGATAATCTAAAATAAAGTATAATCGATTTGATTTTCTCCTCAATGACTGTGTCTTTAAATCTGCATGAAGAAACATATCAATTTCATATTTCTATGCCCATATTCATTCTCTCAGTTTTTCATTGAAAAAATAATAATGAGCATTAATACTTTTCTGAAATGAAAACATATCGATAATACAATATCAGATTTAGAAATCATTCATAGTCT